CTCCAGCCCTCAGGACGTTTGAAATCCCTCGTCTGTTTCCAAACGTCTGCTTGGCTTTCAAAGCGTTTGTTGGACTCAGAGAGGAGGAAGAGGAGGAGGAAGAGGAAGATGAGGAGGAAGCTTCACTAAACATAGAACAAGAGTATCCCCGCCAGCTTCTACAACCAAAAATCCACCGATCTGACTCCACCTCCGGCTCTCCCTCCATCAGAGGTCTCCTCCAGAGGAATATCTCTCCGGTTTGGAGGAATATCTCTCGAATCATGTATCATTCCAATAAAGTCTAAATTGTTGATTTAGATGAATAAAAGATGGTCTTATCAAGGAGTACGACCTAAAAGTGATTTACTTTTGAATTAATCAAGTGAAGGGTCTGTTTTGGAGGAAACAAAACCACTTTTTGCCTCTTAATGGTAGGGTAGGTAATTCACTTGTTATATTCCATGGAATGCTCTTAACATCCCGATAGCAATGAATACATTAAATGCTTTGACAATAAATATATACAAAAATGTCATCTGTGGAAGCCGTAATACTGTAAAAAGTACGACCAATCATCTGAGCCGGCCCGGCTAAAATAACTGGATGGCCTACCTGCCTGTCAGCCTTCCATCTGTGCACAAACTTATCTCGTGCCCTCATTGGTCATGTGCGCGTTCGTGTGTGTTGGAGGAGGGGCTCTGTAAGGAAGTCTGAAGGAAGGGGCAGATTTTTTTCGGCTGCGTACTTTCAAATTCTAGCGCACTCGAGCTGGTTTCTCCATTCTTACCTACCCTACCTTTAAAGATGAAAAAACTGAACATTTAGTACGATTATTCTATTTCTAAACGTTTGCTTGACTTTCAAAGTGTTTGTTGGACTCAGAGAGGAAGAAGAGGAGGAAGAGGAAAAGGAAGCTTCACTAAACATAGAACAAGAGTATCAGACAACAGACCCTAGGAGTGAAGGGTCTGTTCTGGAGGAAATAAAACCACTTTTTGCCTCTTAATGATGAAAAAACTGAAGATGTATGAAGATTATTCTATTTCTAAGATAAGATAAGACTTTATTTATCCCGAAGGAAATTGTTGTGCCAGAGCTACAAAGATACAATAAACACAGCAGCATAATAATAAAACTGTACACTAACAGTGCCGTAAAAAGAGCAATTCAATATCTACAGGAAACATAGACGGTCACATAATTAATGTAAATATTAACAGTATTTAGTAGTGCAAAAAAAACGTAGTGGCAGATGCGTAATTGCACGTTATCCAAGCACATTTATTAAAAATTATAATATTGGACATGTTATATAAAGCGTTTGTTGGACTCGGAGAGGAGGAAGAGGAGGAACAGGAAGAAGATGAAGAAGAGGAGGAGGAAGCTTCACTAAACATAGAACAAGAGTATCTCCGCTAGCATCTACAACCAGAAAACCACCGATCTGTTCCCGGCACAGACTCCACCTCCGGCTATCCCTCCATCAGAGGTCGCTTCCAGAGGAATATCTCTCTCCGGATTTGGAGGAATATCTCCGGGAATATTAAAGCGGCAGCTGTGTGGGAGGAGAGGTGATCGGGTCGAACGCCGAGAGGATCCACTCAGCCTCCATTTTTAGTTTTCAGGCAATTAAAATTCATCCTTCACTCGGGCTGGAAAATGGAGACGATTGTGTGTCAAATGTGAAGCAGCTTTTTATTTTAATGATGTGTGCAGGAATGTGTGTGAAGTGCAGAGGACGACATGTGTGTGTACAAGTTTGGGATTTATTCAACCGGAAAATGAAGTTTTCTATCCGTGTTAAATGAAGATTATTAACTGTATGATTCAAATAAAGCCAAATACGTCTATTTTAAGTTTGATAGAGTCTTTCAATTCCGCTGAAAATGTTCATTTAGATGAATAAAAAAGGGTCTTATCAAGGAGTATGACCTCAAAGTGAATTTACTTTTGAAACAATCAAGTGAAGGGTCTGTTTCGGAGGAAGTTGGTGCCTCTTAATGATGAAAGAAATTGGAGATATAGTAAAATTATACTATTTTACTTTCATTACAATCACATGTTTACCTTGTGGCTTAAGAGGAAAAGGCAAGATGTCATCTAAAATAATTATAAATTATCATAAAAAATCTATGAGTGTACGGGGCGGGACATCTCTAAGCGGCTGACCAATCACAACAGAGCCGGCCAGCTGACCAATCAGAGCAGAGCTTTTTGAACATGGAGACATGTCACAGTAGAGGCACTAAATACTGAAAATGAGCAGAATAGGGCCCCTTTAATAAAAAAAAGTTGGTGTATAACTTATGGAGTAATCTTAGCTCTAAGATGATTAAAACTCCAGGTGGAAAATGTCCTTCATCACATCTGCTTTCTGTCCTTTTGCTTTTTAGTTCTCTCCACCCGGTGAAGCTATCTGCAGACGGAGTGAAGAGTGTAAATCCTCCGGAGAGGAGTGTGTCCTGTCGTCTTTAACAGGCTGAAGGAGACACTAAACCGTCTCAGAGCAGCTCGGAGCGCCGTTCCTCAGACAGTCTCGGAGAACTAACACCAACCAGACAACTTTATAAAAGGTGGAGGGGGGGGGGGGGGGTCTCTGCAGACCTGCTGCTACACCCCCATGCACCACCAGTGAGTAAATAACCCTGGATATGAACATATTGTTTGCCGTGTTATGAAACGAAAACAACGCTCGGATTATTTTCAGATAACAATATGAAGAAGAGAGAGCGGAGCACAGAGAGAGGCAGCAGGAAATATGTAAAAGAAATGAAACAGTTATCAGATACACGAGTATTATTATTACTATTATTATTGAGTCAATGCTAATCCCTTTCTTTACATTTTTTCTTTACAGGGATGAAATGAAGGATACAGTGAAATGTAGACTCTCTTTGCATTGAACTCATCTCAGTAGAAAGTAGAAATTTGAAGTACTTGGAAATGGTGAAGCTTTCTACGTTTACTACACTGCATTTATGACGCAAATACAGATTTGTACACAGGTGTAAATCAGCAGAGAGCAACAGTAAAAATCAGCTTCAAGCGAAATACTCTTGGGTATCAAAAACCACAAACAAGCAACACAAACGTTTCATATGCTTCAGTTAATTAAACATCGTGAGAGATGGCAACCAAACTTCAGACGTGGAGGTGAGACAGGAAACTCAAACTGTTCCTTTACTTCCTTTCACACCAAACAGCCTGCAGTGATTTAAAACATGCATAAAGCAATTTACCCCCCCCCTCTGCTCCTTAAATGGAAACACTCGAAAGCGATTTTCAAACAGGTATGCGACCATTTCCTCTCTGCACAGAAAGCAGCAGCTCGAAAAAACACTCATCCTTCCTAAACACTACAAAACACCTGGAAAACTGCACAACTTCGCAGGGATTTCAAACACAAATATGATTTTCACAGTTTTTCTGGCTCTCCAAAATCGAGGTTCTTTCCGGGCCAACAACCGGGCTGAGTATGCTAAACTAGTGAGAGAATCGCTGGCAACTACAACAAAATGAACATATTTGACCGTGATTTAATTGTAATACACATTTCAAAATGATGCCGAAGTAACAACATACTGATACCGGTTAGTAAAAACCATGAATTAATGCTTTGACAAGTCTGCAGACAGACGGCAGGCGAAAAACCTTTTAAAATGCGTGTTTTCTGAATGGAGATCGGCTAAGCTAACGCAGTATATGCTCCGACCGTCCACACTCACAACAACGGCCTATACAGACATAAATAAAGCAGCGACTGTATTCACCATGACACAGGCAGTCTGTGGTGTGTACTTGTTTAACTTTTGTCTAGTTTCTGAACATATATGAGGAGCTGTGAGCTCTGAGTGCTAACAGCTAACGGCTAATGTTGGTTTTGTGGTTCACATTGAAGATGACGTCACGGCTCCGCCTACACTTCGTTGCTATAGATACTGCCCCAGTTCCTAAACTGTAATGGAAACGCAGCATAAAGTGAGCCTGGCCTACCAAGGCCTAACTATACCGTACTAAGTCGAGTGAGGCCCTGCAGTGGAAAAGCGCCATTAGTTAGAAAAAGTGTTGGGGACACTTTTTTCAGATTTGTAAAACCACTACTGCATTAAAGGTCCAACGGAAACAATACATACATATATACAGTATGCTTTCAATACTTTTTTGACAACTAGAACAGTAACAATGCTACGCTGCTGCAAAGCTATTCTCTATTCAACTATTACTAATATGAAACGTGTCGCAGGTCCAAACTGCACCACTTGGGTCACCAGAAATACACCCAGAAAGTGTGAACAGTCCTCCAGATTGTCCAGATGTTCTCTTGTGCAAATAAACCTTCTCAACAATTCTTTGTGAACGCTGTTTTCAGAACTGTTTTAAACAAATGATCCTAATGCAAAGTGGTGGAGACATGTCCCAATCAAACCCAGGGGCGTCACTTTGTTCGAAAAAGTGGTGGGGAGACTTGTTATCATATTTAAAAATCCACTACTGCATTAAGGGCCCCCTGAAAACAATACATACAGTATGCTTACAAGTAACTATGCTACGCTGCTGCAAAGCTATTCTCTATTCAATTATTACTAATATGAAACGTGTCACCAGAAATGCACTCTCTTGTGCAAATACACATTTCTATCTACCTTTTCTATTTTCAGAACATTTTGAAAACAAGTTATCCTAATGCAAAGTGGTGGGGACAAAGAATGGCCATTTCCAAAAGTGGTGGAAACATGTCCTAAGTATAAATGGTAAATGGACTGTACTTATATAGCGCTTTATCCAGTCTTTACGACCCCTCAAAGCGCTTTACATACCACATGTCATTCACCCATTCACACCCACTCATACAGAGCAGTGTACCTTACTCTAGGAACTAACATTCATACACATTCACACACCGTTGGCCATCGGGAACAACTCAGGGTTAAGTATCTCGCCCAAGGATACATCGACATGTGGACTCCTATGATCAAACCCCACACAGCAGCTTCACACATCCCCTCGCTCCCTCCTACCTTCTTGAGCTGCCCGCTGCGTGTCCCCACGAACACCACCGTGTGTTCTCCGTAGATGTAGGCGGCGACGGCCCCCATGCCCTCCGTGCGGTCCTCGTACAGTGGGCTGCCCTCGATGACCCGCAGACCCCCGAGAGGCTGGTTCAGCACCAGGCCGCAGAAATCATCCCCGATCTGCTTCGGCTGCAGGAGAGAGAGGACGGAGAAGTTATTACAACGTCTTTATTGTTCAAGTACATATTATTGACTACTTTGAAATGCTGCAGGATGATATCAGTCTTCTTAAGATGAAGAAGAAGATATATTGGTAGAGGAAGTCATCTGGAATCTGGTGCATGTTAGCTTTCTAACACAAGAACGGCTAAAAGAAGAAAAGGGAAATAAGTAATGATTGGCTGAGATACCTGTCAATCAATTAAAACACACCTGTAGCTTTAAAACAAATGTGATCATCTCCTCTGACTCGAACCGTGTGTGTGTGTGTGTGTGTGTGTGTGTGTGTGTGTGTGTGTGTGTGTGTGTGTGTGTGTGTGTGTGTGTGTGTGTGTGTGTGTGTGTGTGTGTTGCATATTGATCTATTATTTCATTATGCTGATGAGATGGTCTGATCGGAGATGATTTATACGTTTGGTCCTTCTGAGAGTTTCAGGGTGGAGAGAGGAGTGTATAGAAACAGGGAGGAGCAGGGTTATTATTACAGGGTCCACACACACACAAACTCAGTTACACACACACACACACACAGTTATACACACACACAGAGGTTGGCTAACACCCTGTCATTATCGGGTTAAGGCCTTGATGCATCGCAGCATGGTGGAAACTCTGAAACACAGAAACAGGATCTGCTGTGTGTGTGTGTGTGTGTGTGTGTGTGTGTGTGTGTGTGTGTGTGTGTGTGTGTGTGTGTGTGTGTGTGTGTGTGTGTGTGTGTGTGTGTGTGTGTGTGTGTGTCAGCGATACTTTCAGAATCTCTATTTATAGTTGCTATTTTTCCTTTTCTGTCCTTTTTTATTTATTTAACAAACACCCTGTCCTTGAAACGTTATCTGTCTGTAAAATGACTCGTAGTAAACTCTGCTTTTGTCCTCAAACTGCAGAGTTTCAGAGTTCAGAGACTAATAAACAAATGCACATGACCACTAAGTCATTACATTGGTAGCATGCAAGTTTTTGAATGGATTTTAACCATTTATTAACAGTTTTTAAATCAGTTGTTTTTATTCCGGTATAGTCCTAATAAGTTGTGGGACCCTGTATCTCCAATGTGATGGTAACAATTCATATTTACTGTTCAGAACATTTTAATATGTTATTATGGTAGGCTGAAACCAAAAGGGTTAACCTACAATCTTTGATCAGATTTCTTATTGAAACTGAAATCTATGTATCGAGACCCTCAGATTTGGCCTTTTGTCCAGAAGAAACTGCACTTGAGGTCAGTAAAACACGCTTCTTTTGCTTGTAATGGCAGAGTGTGCATCTTGTTCCTGGGGAAACTGATAACAAAGCATTTGTTCCAAGTGTAACGAGACAAGTAGCCTCCATCTCCTATTAAATATATATTGTATTGTTCCAAAAAAAGGTCCATAAGCACAGCAAAACCAAGAGATTATTAATGTAATTAGGGCTGAAATCCTGCATGCCTTCTTCTTCTGTAATTTAAGAAATACTGAAGCATTAAAGTACTTATTATTTTACTCTTAATCGTTGAATGAACAGTAAAAAAAGCTCAGGTGAGCTGCACAAAGGAAACATGGAGGCAATAACAGCAGACTGCAGCAAAACACACGGGATCCTCACAAGTGAAGAAGAACATGCGTGTGTGTGTGTGTGTGTGTGTGTGTGTGTGTGTGTGTGTGTGTGTGTGTGTGTGTACACGGCAGACAGATCATCATTAAGTGTGAAGGAAAGTCCTGAAGGTACAAAACACACACACACAGACACGTACAGGACAGATTGTTACATGTTGTGCAGACAGGCGGCCTGCTGGTGACGCTTAATGAAAAACAAGACTGAGACACACACACACACAAATAAACACATACACAAATAAGACACACACGAACAAGGACCTTGTCATATTACATTCATGCATGAGCACACACTCACACACTCCCTGCTGTTTATGATAAAAGAAGGAGGTCAGAGCCTGGACACTGGCCCCACCTCCTCTGTCTTTGCCCTCAAAACACACACACACACACACACACACACACACACACACACACACACACACACACACACACACACACACACACACACACACACACACACACACACACACACACACACACACACACACACACACACACACACACACACACACACACACACACACACACACACACACACCACACACACACACACACACACACACACACACACACACACACACACACACACACACACACACACACCACACACACACACACCACACACACACACACACACACACACACACACACACACACACACACACACACACACACACACACACACACACACACACCAGTATCATAGCTCATTATCTCATATTTCATCATTTTCATCATCTCACGGCTGATTGGTTGTCATTCGTTAGTTAGATATTGAGTTGGTTAGTTGCTTCATTGGTTAGTTAGTTGCCAGGGGCCATTTCCATATTCCCAAATCCAGACCCCCCCCCCCCCCCCCCCCCCTCTCCATCCCGAACTCGTATCCTGGCGGGTTTCCCTGTACTGGGTTACCATGGTTACCCTGCAGGCCATTACCGCCATGAATAAGAACATCATCTACCCCCCCCCCCGACCTGAAATAACCCCACTGCAGAGAGAGAAGAGGGGGGCGGATATCTCTGGAAAGATTTTTGGGATGAAGAGCTCCATTATAGACAGGTACATTATGGTATAGGAAGCAAAAATGTAGTATATTATTAAATCAGTGTGTTTCATAAGTGTGGTGCAGTAATGAGTCCTAAAACCGAAAATGAGTCGGCGTTTTAACACTTCCTGTTGCCTCGTCAATGGTTTTAGTTCTGAAATAAGGTCTGTGGTTAACAAAAGCTGATATTTTTTTTCTACGACATAAAATACCTCAGTAAATACCCCACAGGTGAATTTAAAAACAGTGGTTGCTGACAAGTGTCTAAATGAGACGACTAAACGTCATCACGCCCAACATTAGCCGCCTTTAGCTTAGCGGTGGTGACGTGAAGTCATGTGACCGTGCTGTAGTTCCTTTATAGCCCAACATTAGCCGCCTTTAGCTTAGCGGTGGTGACGTGAAGTCATGTGACCGTGCTCTAGTTCCTTTATAGCCCAACATTAGCCACCTTTAGCTTAGCGGTGGTGATGTGAAGTCATGTGACCGTGCTGTAGTTCCTTTATAGCCCAACATTAGCCGCCTTTAGCTTAGCGGTGGTGACGTGAAGTCATGTGACCATGCTGTAGTTTCTTTATAGCCTAACGTTAAAAATCATAACGTTTTAGCAAGAAAGTAAAGGTCACCCTGCAGGTTATAGGTCGACAGACGAATAGCTAACATACAGACTGATTCAGCTGTATCAACAATTTTAGTTATATATAGTTATAGATGGTAACCCTTGATTTGTAAACTCTCAAGAGATCCGACCTTGAACGGTTCAGGTTCAAACAGCGAGTCTTGCGAGAGTTTGGGCAACATTTAGCAAATAAAGGGTTAGCATCAAGACACAACTTCCAAACTCTCATCAGTCTGATTTTTTTTTCCTGATAGGTGTTTTAAGGTTTACTGAACTCACCGTGTGGATGCAGGGCAGCTCCTTATTGAGCAACCAGGGTAACGAGAGTCGTCCCTCGCCACGGTAACAGGAGCGGATCCTCTCCCTCATGGCGAGGTTGATGTCGTGGAGCGTGAACAGACACAGGACCGTCTCTCTGGGGGGGTTCGAGCGGTTCTTCTGACCCTGAAAACACACAAAGAAGAGTCTGAAAAGTGCTGGTTTGGATCTCTGAAGAAAGGCACTGCCACTAATGTCAGAGTAAAAGAAACGATAGTGAATGACAAAAAGAAAACTGAAAAGATGAAAAACATCAACAAGTAAAAACAAACCAATAATTAGAGAAAGAACAAAAGCAGAAGAAGGACTGATTGAGGAAAAAGTCAAGCAAGAAAGAAAAGAAAGGAACATTTAAGAAGTAAAGTCAACAAGAAATTGGAAAGCTTCAATCAGAATAAATGTTTGTAGGGTAAACAGTTATTTATTTTGATCTTTTGATTTATCTAACGTCTGCAGTCTAGACGGAAGAAAAACGAAGAATGGAAAAAAGAAACAGTTGTTCTAGAAAAGTTAAGACAAGATGGGGGAATATGGAAAAAGGAGTAAAGAAAAAAGTTAAAAAAGGGATACTTTTGAATTGTGAATGGATAAAATGAAAGGTAAATAAAGAAACCCTAAAAAGACGAAATATAGACAGACCAGAAACAAGACAAAAAACAGCGAAATAAATAAATAAAAATCAACAAAAAAGACAAAATAAGAAAGCTAAGGGAAGACATTTAAACTGACAAAACAGGAATAGAATAAACAGAAAGAGAAAGGACACAAAATAAATAAATAAAAAGGAAATCAAAAACATTGAAAGAGACTAGGGAATAAAAAAGAAAGGGAAAAAATAGAGGCAACGAAAGGAATAAACAAACTAAATTAAGTCCAGATAAAGACGTCCAATCAGAACAGAGGAAGCTGAAGGCAAGGCAAGTTTATTTATATAGCACCTTTCAACACAAGGCAATTCAAAGTGCTTTACAATAATGAAAGACATGACGGTAGCTCACCTGTGAAAAGACGACGAAGAGCACATCGTCGTCCTCCGTCAGACCGAGCGCCTGCGCCAGCCTCCGCCCGGGCTTCTGTTTGTACGCGGCCTGAACCAGCCGGTACTCCACGCCGTCTTTAGTGCAGCCCAGAGGAAACTCCACGTAGGAGTAGAACTCTGTGTCGTTGGAACACATCCTCACGATCTTAGAGGTGAAGAACTTCTCCCCGCCGGCGTCCATCTGCGTGAGCTGCGTGTCCAGCTGCAGCGTCAGGAAGTAGACGTAGGTGCGACTGGAGAATCCGTACACGTAGTAGATGTCGAAGGCCGGGTATAAGGACAGCGTATCGGACGGGATCTTGATCTGAGAAGAGACAAACTCGTCCTGGTAGACCAGAGAGAACATGTTGACGCTCTCCTCGTCCGCCACCAGCTTCCTGCTGGACAGCGTGGGGAAATACTCCGACTTTCCATCGATGGCGGCGCCGATGAAGAGGCGGCTGCCACCCCTCATCGGCTTCTTTCTCTTCGGATCTGCAGTCCAATCGTCCTCCCCAACAACCACACCTGGAGAAAGAGGAGATGGTTCACAATCACCGAATGTTTTATAGATGAATCTGCTCTTACAAGTGTGTTGTTTAGGAGCAGATAAAAAAGCTCCTTTGCACCCAGATGCTGTCGTTTGTGGATACATCTGCAGAAAGCAGAGTTTACTACGGAGTCATTTTGGCAGATACAGACAGAGAATTTCAATTTCAAGGACAGGGTGTTCAGTACATAATAAAAAACAGAGACAGATACTGACTATAAATAGCGATTTTGAAAGTATCTGCTGATCTGTGATTCAGTTTCCAACCTCCGTCTGAATTAACCAATGAAGCAATTTCAGACCTTTTCTACTCCTTTTCCACTGAGGCAGTGCCAGTGCCAGTTTGAAGCTGGTGCCCAATTGCAAACCAGTATTTGGTGTTTCCACTGTATCAGCACCGGCCTTGAAATTAAGTCCAACTCTGGCCCCAAATACACTCAACCAGCAGCTACCAGAACCGAGAGCCACATGTCAGAGATTAACTGGAGCAGTAACAGTTCAGGGCGAGAGCACAAAAAGTGCCACCACTCGAAAAGTGGCAAGAACAAAATCATATATTTTAAAGCCGTAAAGTCGCAGAACATTCACCATATTATTTATTATATGGCGCTACAGCAACGTTAACACATGCCGTGGGTTCCCTCAGACTCTGGTTGCCGGAGAAGTAAACTGTTTCTTAAGTAGTCCCAAAGTTGAACCAACTACAGACCAAACTAGCCGAAGCACATAACAAGAACGAAACTCATTAAAAGTGGAAAATAGTTTTTTTTACAAAAAGGTCTGAAAGTGGAAAAAGGAACCCAGGACATTTTCTAACCCTAACGGAGCGTCCACACAGCAGCGTTAAAAAAAATCTTGGAGGTGGGCGTATCTGAAGCTTGGGGATTTTTTGCGAGCAACGCGACCAACAACCAATCACATGAATCTCCCGCCCCCGACATACGAAGCAAAAAAGCCCGAAGTAAACTGGATATAAACTCCCCAAACAGGCGAAAACCTACCACTGTCTCTGCCACCTCCCTCCATGCCTGGCTCCTCCGGTTTATATCCCGGTAGGTAAATAGGGACTGGTCATAAAGCACCGGGTGATTCCCTACCGCTAATTTCTCCTCCATTTTTTGGAATATGAGGAAATGACCTGCGGTATGTCTCTCCCAGCATACACGCGGTTTGATTGGCTAGCGCTTGAACTGTCAGATTTGCATACACAGGATTTGATTGGCTGACGCTTCCACCTCAGCTTCAAAAGTTGAACATTGCTCAACTTTGAATCCTGAAAATCCTGAAAATCTCCGCTCTGCTGCCCACAATGCAGTTCGGCGAAAAGTGAGGCAAAGTGACGTCACCCCATTCAAAGTGAATGGGCAGAAGCGTTCCAAGATTTTTTTAACGCTGCTGTGTGGACGCTCCGTAACCCTATCAGTAGTTGTAAACAGACACATTATGTCATTCCTCAAAACCACACCTTCTTGAATGTGCTTTTAAAGTATGCAACTTCATACTGATGTAAGCTACAGAGTCAATTTAAGATAGATTAATATATAAAAAGGCTTAATTTTAGGGTGAAAGTAGGATTATGGACTGCTTGACTTGACGCCCTGTTACTGAACACTGCTCATTTATCATTTGATCCAGTTTGATGTTTGCTTTACGACTGGTGCTTCTATACTAAAAGGTTTAATACAGCTGTCTTGTTTAGGACGCCCTTGTAAACTAGATTATGGATCTCAATGGTAAACTAAAAGGTAAAATTAATATAAAGAAGATACACAAGAAGAGCCTAGTAACAACGTCTAAAGAATATTTTAACAAGTTTTTACTGGTCTTTACTTCTACATTTTAACAGCATAAGTCCTGCTAATGTCCCCTCAAGGCTGTCTCAGTATTCGTATCGAACCATTTAAGAACTTACAATCATGAGATCAAGTCGTACAATAATGAGATATAACAATCTAATGTTTATATCACAGCACGGTGGGTGACATGTGAACAGAGAAATCAGAAACCCACTGAGAGTTTTAGAGAGCGGAGATATGAGGACTGTCATGTTCGTGTTGTTTGTCAATCATCTTCTGTTTTGTCCCCACAGTTTTCATTCGGGCTTTTGTTCAAAATAAAACACAACAGCATCTGATTTACAATAAAAACCTGCACAACATTTTGACGCTTGACTGACAGCTGCAGGTTGAAATGTTTCTCTAGCTTGTAAAGAACAAAGCTAAAAGGAAACCCTAGGGATCCGTTTTCTATTTTTTATGGCAGAAAGATTGACAGAAATTTGACGTGATATGAGGACAAATCGAATTCATGTTTTTTTTATTTAAATCTGCAGTGGGAACGACAGCACGGACTGTCAAATGCAGACAATACAACTCTGTATTTGAGACTTAGAGGCCTAACTAACAACACATAGTCACTTTAAAATATATATATATATATATTCCAGTATTTGTGCTAAGCTAGGCTAAACAAATCCTGAAACATTATGCATTGTCTTCTGAAACATCCATCTTTTCATCTGACTCTGGAGGAAAAACCCAGGATTAATGTTAGCTAGTTAGCAAGTTAGAAAGTTAGCGGTTAGCCCAAGTGACCTTCTCTGCATTTATCGATAGCCTGAGTTAGCATTTACTTGATTATTTTCAAACAAAAATGTAATGAGATTCAGGATGGTTGCTAACAACAGGTTTGGAGGTCTCTCCCTCACAATCTTTCTCTTGATTATCTACCTGTCCATGTATATATAACTGACCCCCCCGATGCTCACCTGCCATCCCATCAGCCTCTCTGGCTCCGGACAGGTAATGCTCTTTGCGGTGATGAGGCTCTCCGAGTTTGAAGAGGTCTTCGAGTCGGAGGAACTGACAGACGCCCTGCCAGATGGAGCCGCACGCCACCAGTCTGTTCCCGGTGTAATCCACCAGTAAGAGTTTATTCACGTTATCTGAGGAGTCCAGTCTGAGGGGGGAGAGAGACACACAGGTGGAGGTTAGACAGGTGAGAATGAAGACCCAAAAAACCTTGAAACTCTTTATGAAAATGTTAATGTTGCACAGTTTCTTTGGAGGTTGGCTTTTTGCAAGTCCATCCATTCTGTTTAAAGCTGGTGATTGTGCAAAGTCGCAGAAAAGGAGTAGGCCTGATTAATATTATCAGTCTTCTAGTGTAAATTAGATTCCAGTAGTGGCTATGAAGGATTGTTCCAAATAACTCTGGAGTTCTACAGTAGGCTACACAAGAACTTAAAAATAATTGATTAAATTAAGAATTGCCAATACTCACAACATGTTTTTATCTAACCAAATGTCTTAAAGGTCTCCTATCATGCTATTTTAAGGCATATATTATGGGTCTCAGATATATAAAAAAATATATAAAAACATGTCTATGATGTGTTTTGCTCAAAATTCAAACAGATCATGCATTTTAGAAATCCCTCATATCCCTCTGTTTCAGCTGTTAGAGAAACGCTGATTTTGGGTCCTGAGCTTGAAAATAAAAAGAGGAGGCGGAGCTAATGCCTGATCAGAATTCTACCAGAGATAAAGTACAATTCTGCTGTGATAAAACGCCATCCTGTTCTAAACCACATCAAGGATTATTTCTGAAACAGTATGGAGCTCAAATGCTTTTTCTATTGCAGGTTTATCACAAGGTGAGTTCCTTTTTTAATTCCCTGCTTCTTTACACATGTGCTCTCCAGTACAGGTTAGCTCTGAGTGTTAGCGAGGCTTGCTAATGTAAACACAGATCATATTACGTCCAAAACACGTCAGGCATTGTTTCTGATAGCAACTTTCTGTGGGTCCGCCGCCGATTTGACGTCATATCGGCAGCAAATCTGTATCCGCTCGTTGTACCCTCGTTTTTAAAAGATTTGGGCACGGAGGAAAAGAGAGAGGGTTTTATTTTCTGACGCTGCGTGAGTTCCCCGACACACCAGGGACACATATTTATGTATAAAAGACATCAAAAAGTGCATTTTGCATGATAGGTCCCCTTTAAAACCATAATTGTGGTTGTTTGCTTTCCCCCAAAAAGAGAGGTGTGCACTGTCAAGTTGTACCGATCAAAGAAAGTTGATTTAATAAAACTAATTAAATCAGTAAAATCACTTTTTGTCCTGTAATAAAATGCATTCATAGCTTCATTTAAAAAGCTTGATTGAAGCTGTGAATAAATGTAATTTGGTACAGATCTACTAGACAGACTACACAAAGTCATACTATAGTAATTTCATAAAAAGCCATATTATAATAGGTCATAAAAAAGTTAATTAAAGATGTCATAATTCTCAGGTCATTAAAATCTTATAATATCTCCTAAAAAGTTATTTTATAATATATATTAAAATATATAATAATTTGTATTTAGGGTTCAGTAAGTCAAAACTTTTTTCAATTTAAAAGTAATAAATGTCCTAAATTCGTGATTGTACATTATGGCATAAAAATGACAAGTAGCCGATCAGACAGACAGGTGGAGCAGCGAGACAGCAGTGAGACAGGTGTACTGACCGGTGAGCGCAGGCCCTGACGCTTGGGGGGGGATAACACTTGGCGTTGTCCTCCACCGGGCCGGTCATGTGACTCCTCATCTCCGTCAGATTGGACGACAGCTTCATCACGCGGTTCACGGCGCCCACGAACACCTCGCCCGTCCTCCGGTGGACCGTCAGGTGAGTGAGGGAGGTGTCGAACGGCCGAAACACCACCCGACCCGTCGCCAAGGGGGGAGGAGGGGGAAGAGCCGGGGCCGAGAGGAGGGGGGAGGAGAGGAGGGAGAGGAGGAGGAAGAGGAGGAGAGGTGAGGAAGAAGGGAACATGGTGGAGAGAGAGAGGAGAGGATGGAGGGATGGAGGAGGAGAGGAGGGGAGGAGGAAGAGGAGATCTGCTGCAGGACTGAGGAAGAGGAGGCAGCTTTACCGGGGCATGGCTGTGGAGAGAGACAGAGAGAGAGAGTGTTATAATGTGATCAACTACAGGAGCCTGTTAGGGACATTTCAGAATCTAACGAATGCATGTGAATACATATCGGTTCATATGCCTTTATTTTGAAATTCCCATCGCCTGTCTGTGTCGCCATTTTGGTCAAAGTTTGTTCCTTAGCATTAAAACATTGCTTAAACATGAAAAAGGTGGCACTTTTGTAATTAGCGAATAGCAAAGTCTATTTAAGGTCTTTATATTAAAAGATTAACAGACTCTGAAACGAAAGGTATCGTGCCAGACTTTGTGATATCAGCAACCAGATTGATCTCCAGATGATCGCTATAATACATATCGTGCTGAAAACCTAGTATTCACACTGTTAGACAGACTGGTAAGAATTAAGGTTCAAACTAACATTATATAGATAAACCTTCTCAATCTGGTTTATTCTGTGTGTTATCATTTGGACATCCACCTACAAATCCTGACTTTAACCTACAATATTCAGACTTTCTTACCTACGATATCCTGACTTCAATCTCAGTCATTCTGACTTTTCATATGCATGAGACTGAACAAAAATATGCGTATGTCTCCAGAATGAAATGGAGCTTTTAGTCCTCATTATTCACTAAAAAAACTCTCCAACACACACACAGGATTCCTCTGACAGTGTAGAGATTAGCTGTGTGTGTGTGTGTGTGTGTGTGTGTGTGTGTGTGTGTGTGTGTGTGTGTGTGTGTCAGATAGAGGTATTGATCTGTTTCTGTCTGTATTCTCACTGATTCTCTCATAAAGCTTCAGCAGCTCGAACACTGAGCCGATGGAAACTTCACTCTCATCCTGGCAGCGATTTCTACTCCGCTTACGTTTGACTGACAGCTCTGATTACACACACACACACACACACACCCCACACACACCTCAGTGAAATCAGTTTCATCCTAATCTAAACTCGTGAACGAGACAAAATGGAGGGTTTTCTTTCCCTGAAGGAGTTTTTCTGGTGCGTTAAAAGCTGAAATGTTCTGAGCGTGGGCGTCCTGGTGGGAATTGAACCCTCGACTGTAGCAGAGCTTCATATCGGGCTTCAGCATGGGCACATTAATCAATAAGAGAGAATATGAGAAACTGAGAGTGGAAACAAAGAGCCTCGCTTTCTCTTCTGTCAGCTCGTGTTTCTTATATTCTCCGATATTTGTATTTCTCTCAACGTTTTCGTTACTTTCGCTTTCAGGATTATTCTGATCCGAGATTTCTACCATCAAGATATATCAATTCCCTTTTTTTTATGATGCATTCATGTACTGTTACCACACACACTCCCATCATCATACTTTGCAAATAAAGGAACATTAAATGGATCTGTTTTGAGTGTCTTACTATCGGTTGAAGTATATTTCCCACCAGTTGTGAAAAACCCCCACCTAGTGTAACCCATCAGACGGTGAAGTGGCTCTAAAGCCTCCTCACAGACGGTATCAGAGCGTTTCAATCCAACAGGAACACACACATCGATCCGCTCCAATCTAAAGACCTGTTCTCTGTTTGTTTGTGTCCGGAAACACGACCGTACAGCTTTAGGTCGTTACAGCGGCTTCCAGTACGTTCTACAATTGATTTTAAATTTGTGATGCTTGTTTTTTCAAGACCCTACACGGCACCGCAAACTCTGTGACAAGCTTCTGAGAACAAAACAGCCCTCAGTGTTCCCAGACACCGGTGAAGCTACCTTTAGATGTTATCCTCTAACAGCAAACTATCAACGTGCTCCAACAATATCATCTTTACAAGTGAAATGCTAAACAGTGTTTTATTCTTTCTGCTTTTACCGGTTGTTAGTTCATGTGTCTGATTTGATTTCTTATTTAATTTAAGGTCAACTTTTGCTCTTAATTAGTAATTGCTTCCCACTTTTTAAATGGTTTTAATTCACATGTTGTCTTAGTTCTTACTGGTTGCTGCTCTAAATGTATTTACATTGTTATTTTTTTATTATTCCCTTGTCTTAACCCTCCTGTTGTCTTCGGGTCAAATCTGACCGTTTTACTACTTTCATCAATCATAACTTTTTTGTTTTACATTCGATTGAATTAAGGCTTTATGATATCCTTCACAGTAGACATTTGAACATATAAAATTGCTGATCACCACTTTCATTGAATTTTGGATGATTTAGTCAACTTTGTAACACCCATGGTG